TTTGTGTATTTCTCCCTTTAATTCTGTCATTCTGTTAGTTTTTCCTTTGTGTATTTTGAAACTGTTATGTATGCTTATTATACCTTCCTGGTGATATTTATTATTGTGAGGCTTCTATTTTTATCTCCGATGACAGTCTCCATCTTAAAATCTACTTCATTTGATATGAATTTAGCTACTTCAACTTTCTTATATTTATTGTCTGCATACTACATCTTTTCACATCCACTTCCTGCAAACTCTCTGTCTCTCAAAGACTACTGTTGGGCCATTTTTTTTTTTTTAATCTATTCTGACAGATTCTGCTTTTTAATTGAAGTGCTTTAGACTAGTAACCTTTAATGTAATTACTGATACGGTTGAATGTTGGTCTACCATTTTACTATTTTTTTCTCTTTATCTACTATTTTTTTGTTTCTCTGTTCCTCCTCTCCTGCCTTCTTTTTGGGTTAACTGAATATATTTTAGAAGTCTACTCTAATCTATCAATTAGCTTTTTTGTTATCTTCTTTGCATTTTTTTTTTAAAGATTTTATTTATTTATTTGACAGAGAGAGAGACAGCGAGAGCAGGAACAGAAGCAGGGGGAGTGGGAGAGGGAGAAGCAGGCTTCCCGCCGAACAGGGAGCCCGATGTGGGACTCGATCCCAGGACCCTGGGATCATGACCTGAGCCGAAGGCAGACGCTTAACGACTGAGCCACCCAGGCGCCCATCTTCTTTGCATTTTTAAGAAGTGGTCACCGTGGAAATTATATATTATATATAATTATATATTATATTTGCTTTAAACATTCATAAGTATTTTAAGAAATGGAGAAAAAACTGGTTTCTTATATTTATTCTTATATGTGCTATTTCTGGTGTTCTTCATTCTTCCTGAAGATCCAAATTTCTACCTGGTATGATTTCTTTTTGCTCTGAAAAAAACTTCCTTTAGCATTTCTTAAAGTGCAGATCTGCTGTCCATGAGTTGTCTTAGATCTTGTTTATCCATAAATGTCTTTATTTACTTTTAAATGCTATCGTGCCCTTTTCTGGTTCCCACAAGACTTCAGGAAAAGTCTGCTTCACAAAAAGCCTGGTTACTGCTGCCTTGGGGAGCAGGGGGAGAAAAGCGTCTGTCGGGGCAAAAAGCTTCGCCCAGAGAGGACCACAGCTAGAGGGGCAAGAAGTCCAGCAGAGATGGAGAATCATGGCAGCAGAAATTGAGAACAGAGATGATGCAAACTGTCCTTCTTTCGACATGGGAGCACCCCAAAGTTTCTGCAATCATGCACACACCTCCAAGCCTCTCATTTGGATGTTAGAGGGAAAGTAACCTCAGAAACATGGAGCATTTGCGGGCATTCAGGTTACACAAAAGACAAGTTTAATTCAACTTGACCAGTATTATTAAGTGTGTAATATGTACTTTTAGTCCTCTGGGCCTTCATTAACACTTTTCAGAAATCTTACTTTTCAGCTAGGGAATGTGCAGACTCAGCAGAAAGGTTCCCTTCCCATTGGTCCGTGGGGTCAGCTGACTCCATGACTCCACCTGGGAAGTTGCTCACCAGCCAGAGGCTGCCAGATGTGCCCCATAAACAGGTAAACGTGTCAAAACAGAGAGAGCAGAGAAGAGCTTCCTCTCACCACCAGTGATCCCTGGGAAAGAACTTTTCCTGAGACACGTGTTGCTCGGCTCACCAAAGCCGGGCATGTCTGGGGCGCGTGGTGTGGGAACTTCTTTCCAGCTTTCCCTGGGAAAGAGTCATGCACGTGCAGGGCTAGGGCCGGGGCGAGGCAGGAGGAGCACGAGCCTCAAGTGCCAAATTGAAGAGGGCGCCAAAAATCTCAGAACTCAAGATAAAGAACATTTGACTGCAACATTTTTCCTTAAAAAGAAATTAACGTGAATAAGCTCTATGATGAACAAAGTATTAAAATTTCAAATAAGACAGTGTGACAGTGCTCTTGTGTAATTCACATCATCTGCCATCTCCGGCCTGGCCCCACCCACGCTGGGCCCTGTCTTTACTTAAAATGTTGGTGTTTCATTGGTCACGGATCTTTCTGCCTTACTCTTGATTTTAAAAAACATTCCATTAAAATGGCATTTATCTTGATTACTGTGGTTTTTGGCACTCCCTTAAATTTTGCACTCGCCTTACCCTAGTACCAGCCCTGAACATCTTTAAGAACCTCTTTAAAGTCTCCCCGGCCACTCCCCCAGCCCATCAAAAGAAATCCCCTAACATACTTTGATGATGAGAAGGCATTTTTTCATATATAAATGTAAAAAGCTTACTGGCAACAGTAATAAGAGCCAAAGGAGGGATCTGCCTAAACTCCTGGCACATTCATTGAGCAGTTTTATAAACAGGAGTTCTACAAACTTCTAGATCCCAGGGTAAAAATTCATCAACTAAAATGATCTTACATTTCTTCACTTGAACATAAGAGACTAAGAACTAAGGAGGCTGAAAAAGACAAGAATTGGAGTATATTTTGTTACATGGGTTATAATGTACATTAATGGATTATGTATTCATGGTTTCAATTGGATGGAATGATTAAATCTCAGCTCTGATACTTCATGGTGGAGTGTGGTCAGCATGGGTGCCATTCATAAAATACTGAATCCCTTTTACTTCGTCCCAATGCATGTCAGTAAAGGCAACATGGAATAGCAGTGAGAACTCTAGATTGTGAATCCCAGTTAAGATACGTATTACCGGGGCACCTGGGTGGCTCAATCATTAAGCGTCTGCCTTCGGCTCAGGTCATGATCCCAGGGTCCTGGGATCGAGTCCCACATCGGGCTCCCTGTTCGGCGGGAAGTCTGCTTCTCCCTCTCCCACTCCCCCTGCTTGTGTTCCTGCTCTCACTATCTCTCTCTCTGTCAAATAAATAAATAAAATCTTTAAAAAAAAAAAAAGATACGTATTACCCATAACAACTTGAGCAAGTCATGAAATGTCCCTAGGTCTCACTTTCCTCATCTGTAAAAGGGGGCTACAAATTTAGTTTAAATACCATGTCTTTAAAAAACAAATCTTAATTGCTTGCTCCTTTATTTTTTTTTTAAAGATTTTTTTTATATTTGAGAGAGAGAAAGAGAGTGCACCCTCCAGCGAGCATGGTGGGGGAGGGGCAAAGGAAGAGGGAGAAACAGACTCCCCGCTGAACAGGGAGCCCCACGCGGGGCTCCTTCCCAGGACCCTGGGATCATGACCTGAGCCAAAGGCAGACGCTTAACTGACTGAGCCACCCAGGTGCCCCGCGTGCTTCTTTATCTACACTAAATAATTACAGGTCCTCTTGATTATCCTTGGTGTCTAAAATTATAAAAGCTAATTTTGAAAAATAAAGAATTATTTCTGAAGAACATTTTGAAAAAGAAGACAGGAATAAGTATAGTCAAATTTTGTTTTAAAGAATAATGATCACAAAACTTTCTGGAGTCCAACAAATTGGTATGCATATGCCAAATGGGAGAGGCAGTGACCACTTCTAATGTGTAACTTAATAGAGTTCAGAATAGACGTTCTGAGGGGCACCTGGCCAGCTGAGTCGGTAGAGCATGTGACGCTTGATCGCAGCGTGATGAGTTCGAGCCCCACATTGGGTGTAGAGATTACTTAAAAAAAAAAAAAAGCTCAGAATTTTTTTTTTAGCTCACTGGGTTAAAACATCAGTGAGCTGGGCTGATTAAAAACAGAACAAAACAAAACAAAACAAAACAAAAAACTGGGCTTAACATCTCAGCTAAAGCTCCAGCAGATGGAGGAGAAACTCTGCACTTGACAATGGTTGACTGTCATTTTTCGGGGGTGGAAACATCACATTCCCACCAGGACTTAATGAAGAATCCGGGTTCTATTATTAATTTCCTCCCCAAAGTCTAATCTTGTCAGGATTACAATTTGTGATTCTGACTATTTAGCATTTGGAAGTTTAGAATTATTCTTTAATTATTTTAGCAGACCATCCCCTTTGCTCCTCATTTTCAGTTCCAGCTTTTTTTTTTTTTTAAGATTTTATTTATTTATTTGACAGAGAGAGACATAGAGAGAAAGGGATCACAAGCAGGGGGAGTGGGAGAGGGAGAAGCAGGCTTCCCGCTGAGCAGGGAGCCTGATGCGGGGCTTGGTCCCAGGACCCTGGGATCATGACCTGAGCCGAAGGCAGACGCTTAATGACTGAGCCACCCAAGTGACCCTCAGTTCCAGCTGTTCTTTCCCACCTTCTAGCCAGGTGATTCTCTTAAGACCTTTGCCAAGAGCCCAATAAAGAGACACTAATATCTTAGAAAGAACAGGAACAAAACTCCTCTGAAGTCCCCTGTATAGTCTGTCTCTTTAATTAGCAATAATCGCACCTGCGATAAACCTCATTGGCTATCATACTGCCACTTGTAACAGCTTTGTTGAGATATAATTCACACACCATACAATCCACCCATTTAAAGTGTACAATTCAATGGCTCTGAGTATATTCAGAGTTGTGACCATCACCACAATCAGTTTTAGAACATTTTCATCACCCCGACAAGAAACCTTGTACCCAGTAACAGTTACCTCTCATTCTCCCATACCCCCCCAGCCCAGCAACCACTAATTCACTCTCCGTCTCTATCGATTTGCCTATCATGGACACTTCATATAAATGAATCATTATGTGGTCTTTTGGGAGGGGCTTCTTTCACTTAGCCTGACGTTTTCAAGGTTCATCCATGGTGTAGCATGTATCTGTACTTCATTTCTTTTTATGGTCGAATAATACTCCATTGTGTGGATATACATTTCATTTATCCATGCATCAGATGGTGACCATTTGGGTTCTTTCCACTTTTTGGCTATTGTGAATCATGCTGCATTGAACACGCTATACAAGTTTTTGTTGGATATATGTTTTCAATTCTCTTGAGTATATATCTAGAAATGGAATTGTCAGGTCCTATGCACCTTTATAGTTTTCAACGGAATAATGTGACAATGATCTATCTATTCCTGCATACAAAATTATCCCAAAGCTTCAGGCTTCAAATAACAGTAATCGTTTACTACATCTCATAGTTGCTGTGGGTCCGGAACTTGGGAGTAACTCGAATAGGAGGATCTGGGTCCAGGTCTTTCACGAGGTTGCAGTCAGATGCTGGTCAATGTGGAAATCCTCTGAAGGCTTGGCCGGAGCTGGAGATCCATTTCTAGGATGGCTCGCTCGCATCTGACAAGGTAGAGCTGGCTCTTGGCTGGGGCCCCAGTCCCTTTCCACACGGGCTCCCCCACAGGAATGCCTGAGTGTCCTCAAAGTAGCAGTCTTCCTCTAACACCAGCTAACCAAGAGACCAAGGTGGAAGCTGCATTATCTTTTATGACTTAGCCTCAGAAGTCAGACACTGTTGCTTTCACCAAATTCTACTGTCCACATAGGCCAGCCCTGATTCCTGAGGGAGGGTAGCAACCAAGGGGAAGAGGGAAGACACCGAGGGAGGAAGGTTGGAGACATCTTGGAGGCTGGCTACTGCAAACAGGTTGACTTCAAAGCTCTGTCCTCTGTCCTTCCTGCAGAGAGGATCCAAAGTGACAGATCCCAGGCAAGAGGTCAAAAAAGTCTGGAGGATCGTGACAGCACCGTGTTTCACTCCCTCCAGTGGGTGGATTTAACAACCTGCACTGGAGCTTCCTGACTCTCGTGCTGGGGAATTTGAGGAGAAGGAGAATCTAAGTGCACTATGTAATAGAAAGATAAAGAACTCCAAGCTTGCCTGTTGTCCTTGGATTATTGCCCCTGGTATTCACCTCTGGAAGGGCCAACCCTTTGTCTCCCTATCTGCATCAGCAAAATCTTCCTGGAATGTCATTTGGGTTATTTGATCCAGTAGTAAAATCCACAATCTCTCCTGGCAAATCAGCAAGTACTTATTAAGCATCTACTGTGTACCCAAGAGCAAATCCTAGGATCATTTGAGACCAGTGTAGATGGATACGCCAAAAATGGCCAGGCATGACCAAAATAGATTGTTGTCAAACCCACCTGTCTTGAGGCTTCAAAGGCAAGAACTGAAAAGGACTTTTTTTTTTTTTTTTTGAGCTAGCATTTAGAGTCGGTACTGCCCAAAGAATGCTTTCAGAATGTTTTTCATTTAGAAAATTCCTGAGGACTTGAAACACAAAGAAAGATCAAGGAACCATTCTAGAGGGGCGCCTGGGTGGCTCAGCCGTTAAGCGCCTGCCTTCGACTCAGGTCATGATCCCAGGGTCCTAGGATCAAGCCCCGCATCGGACTCCCTGCTCTGCGGGAGGCCTGCTTCTCCCTCTCCCACTCCCCCTGCTTGTGTTCCCTCTCTCTCTCTGTCAAATAAATAAATAAAATCTTAAAAAAAAAAAAAAGGAATCATTCTAGAGACTTTTAGTTAACGGACAACAAAATGTAATGTTTATCCTAGATTAGATCCTGGATGGGGAAAAAATGGCTGGAAAATACATTACTGGAAATTGGTGAAATTGGAATACAACCTGTAGATTATAGTATTAAATCAATACTATGTTAATGTTTCTGAATTTAAAATTATATTGTGGTTATGCAACAAAACATGTATGTTCTAAGGAAATACATATTGAAGTATTATGAGGTAAATGTAACTACAACTTAGTTTCTAGTGGTTCAGAAAAAAATTCTGCATATTCATATGTGCACACACACAAACAGAAAGAGACAGCAAACAAATGCAGCAAAATGTGAACAGTGAATCTGGGTGAAGGGTATACAGAAATTCTTTATACGTATACTATGTTTGCAGCTTTTCTGTGAAATTGAAATTGAAATTATTTCAAAATAAAAAGGTTTTAAGGAGAAAAGGAGGGGCGCCTGGGTGGCTCAGTCGTTAAGCGTCTGCCTTCGGCTCGGGTTGTGATCCCGGGATCCTGGGATCGAGCCCCACATCGGGCTCCCTGCTCAGCGAGAAGCCTGCTTCTCCCTCTCCTGCTCCCCCTGCTTGTGTTCCCTCTCTGTCAAATAAATAAATAAAATCTTTAAATAAAAAAAAATAAAGAGAGGGGCACCTGGGTGGCTCAGTTGGTTAAGCGGCTGCCTTCGGCTCAGGTCATGATCCTGGAGTCCAGGGATCGAGTCCCGCATCAGGCTCCCTGCTCAGCAGGGAGTCTGCTTCTCCCTCTGACCCTCCCCCCTCTCATGTGCTCTCTCACTCTCTCTCATTCTCTCTCTCAAATAAACAAATAAAATCTTTAAAAAAAAATTAAAGAGAAAAGGAAACTCCCAAGAGTCTTCTGTTAAGGACAGGATAGGCTGCGGCGTTACTGCTCCTTCATGGAATGGTATATCAAAGGAGTCAAGGTCAGCCGGGTGCCGATTACCCACATGACTAAGCCAATGCTGTGTGTCGGGTGCTGGAGGTGACAACTGTCTCAGTTGACAACATCTCCTGGCAGTTACTAAAAAGTCCAGGGGCGCCTGGCTGGCTTAGTGGGTAGAGCATTCAACTCTTGATTTCGGGGTTATGAGTTTGAGCCCCACACTGGGGTACAGAGATTACTTAAAAATAAAATCTTAAAAAAAAACCAAAAGCACCAGCATTACCAAAACTTTACATTGTACTGCGACCCCACAGTCAGCCCCTGAAAGTGACAGTCTCAGCTTCCTCCACCCCCGACTTCCAGTTGGGCAGCCGTTTCAACAGCTCCTCCGAGAGGTCCCGGATTGGGCAAGGGCACTGCTTGCCCTCTTGCTCCCCGAAATGGAGTGCATCCTTCTGCTCACTTGGGCTCTGGGCTGGAAGGCAGAAACCTGTCCTGTTCCCTCCATATAGGGGGCAGTGTGGCCAGAAATCCATGGCACAAAAGCCCCCCAAATTTCCAAGAACATCTCAGAGCCACAGAATCAGTCAAATGTCTTTGAACTGGCCCAGAGTAAGAAGGCCCTCCACACAGCACAGCTCAGGCTCAGATGTCAAGGGGCATGTTCTGACTCCCAGTCCACTGGATGAGCAGGAGGCAGCTGGGAGCTCCACTGACTTAGAAGAAACAGATCCAGTCAAGGCCCAGAGGATGCCCACGTTAAAAACAGTAGCCCTCTGGCCTTCAGAGTTCACTAAATATGAACATATGAACTCTACAAATTAGCTTCGATGCCAGCCAAGCCTGGGTATCACCATCTGCCTGCCAGAGCCAGCTGACTTCCAGTTAGCAGTGAGAGCAAGTGGAAAGGCCACCAGCCCCAGGCGCTTCAAAGAGGAGGAGGGCGGGGAGATCCCTGACAAGAGAATCTAATCACAGAGCCCCGAAGAGAACGACAGAAGAAGGTCTTGCTAGTTCCCGTGAAAGCAGGTACCAGACTGTGATGGCTCCAGGCAAGCCCACAGCCCAGCCACCACCTGCTGGGGACAAAGACCTTTCTCCTCCAGCTCCGACTCTCTGATGTGTGTGTGTGGGAAAGACCAGCCTCCCACTGTGTGCCATTCACAGAGGACACTCTTGGCTTCCCTAATTACCTGAGACCAGGCAAAGGAATCACAGGCCCAGCACAGAGCAAGTTCTCGTGAAGAGCAAACTCTTTCATGGCACTTATCAAGTGCCAGGCACTGTCCTAGGCGCTTTACGGATAACTCATGCAACACCCGCCCCCTGGTAACCCTATGAGGGTAGTACTCCTGTTATCCCCACGTGGCAGGTAGGGAAACGGAGGCAAGAGAGATAAAGAAACATGCCCAAAGTCACTGACCTAGTAAATAATGAAGCCAGGATTTGAGCCCTGGCTTACACATGTGCTTTTTAACCACCTTCTATGCAACTGAGGAAATAAACACATTTCAAAAACCATATACAGACAGGACGAGATAGATAAGGGGGTCTGCAGAGCAGGTATGTGGATGATAGGAAAGTGGAGTGGGTCTCACTGTTACCTAGGGTACTTATAATCAGTACCATCTCATCCACCCATTCGTTCATCCTCTCACATTTCGAATTTAGGGCGTACTCGGGGTTAGAACGGGAGGAAACAAGAGGAGCACAACTTAGATAATGAATTGAAACTGAACACACAAACAGTGAAAGACAGAGAGGAGGAGGATCTGGGGCCGAGTGAGTCGTGCTGAGGTCTGCAGCAGGGTGGAGGGCCACAGCTCCCAGAAGCATTCCCTGGCCACACACACACACAGCACACAGGTTGGGGGTCCTCCTCCACCTGCCACACCGTATCCTTATTGTAGCATTTTCCACAATGGGTTGCAGTTTCCTAGCTGCTTCTCTGCCCACTACTAATTTCTGTATCTCCAGTGCCAGGCACGGACTAGTCATTCAGTGTTTGTTGAATGACTTGCTGAGGGAAAAAGGCTTGAGGGAAAAGAGCTCAGCTGCACTAAGGGGAAATGAGCAGCAGGCTCACCTGAGCAGGGCGGGCTAGAACAGGGTTTCTCAAACTGGAGGAAACATGAGAAGCACATAGGGATCTGTGAAAATGCAAATCCTGATTCAGTAGGCGTGGGGTGTGGCCTGAGCTTTTTTATTTCCAGCAAGCTCGCTGGTGATGCCCCTACTCCTGCTCCCTGAATCCTACTTGGAATGCTGAGGCCCCTGATGACCCCTGACCCTTCTCATCCCCAAAGGAGCATCATTCCGTGCTCGGGCCCCCTTCCTCTGTCCCTGTGCCCCTTCTTTGCTGCCCTCACACAGCCTTAGCCACTGATCCCATTTGCCTTCCGGCCCAGATCCAGATTTGAAGACCACCTATCCAAATCGCTGCAGTTCCCACAGTGTGGCCCACGGGTCCCAGGGTGGGCCCGGTGAGGGGGCTCCTACGGTCAAGGATATCGCCCAGATCACCCCCCACCCCCAGGTGATCACAGGATCACAGGATCACTGCTCACCTTGGCCTCTTTTAGGCTCCCCGCAGTCCCGCAGTCTTGCGATGACAAAGGCTTGTTCAGGAGCTAAAAGGACGGCTGAGACAGGGGAGGGACTTAATGGCCCACAGTCCTCCTCAGCACCACCCCTACCTACTCGGACCCGGAAACAGCGGTGTCCCATCCATCCGGATTGCCATCCTCAGGAGCAGCTTATGGACATAGGGAAATTCTAGAACTACATAGGGAAAAGGCAAGGTTTGTCTTCTTGGGGTGGGGGGGGGAGGTATCCTTTCCCTGCCACTGACGCTCTTTTTTTTCCCCCCGACATCTTCAGGACCCTGGTCTCTTACCCCTCGGTCTATTAAAGGATCTGATGCCATCGTATATGCTGAACTGTCCGTGACTGATAAGACTCCAACACACCACTCCTCAAGGCCTGTTGTTCCCGCTTCGCTCCTCTACCCTCAGCCCACATCCATTTTTTATCCCTCTCTGTCCCTGGGACTCTGGCCCCTTGGGGCCTCCCTTACCCTCTGGCTTCCAGGGCGGGGTTGGGGAGTGGCCGGCCAGTGGGCGGGACTGCGGGGAGAGCTGAGGGCAGGGGAGCTACACATCACTGGCCAGTGGCTGTCTCTCCACAGCCTCGGTCCTCCACAGCTCATTTTTACCAGGCTCCCTTTGGCCCTTCCACCCTAGGGTGCTACCCGCTGCCTGCCACCACACACCCTGGCGCGCCTCACCATCCCTGCTGGCTCCTTCCATCCTGCCCACTTCACTGTCAATAGTCCTGTCACTGTCTTCTTTTATTTTAATTTGCAGTTAAACCCTTTTGAGTCTGCCTTCTGTTTTCTTGCTAGGATTCTGACCAAACAGAAAGTTGCATTTTTACCAAGCACTGGGTCCCAGTTTTGTTTAAGCCAAAGCAATGAAGCTCTAACGGTAGAATGGGGGGCTAGAGGGAGCCCAGAGAGAGAGAGAAGGTATTTTTGAGGGGGAGAAGGGTGCCAGTGTTTCTCAGTGCCTTGAAATCCAACTACATCAAGGTCTGCCTGGGAGTTCGCATCTCATTTTATTCTCTTCAGCCATCAGGATCTCGGGATTGTGGGAATCAAGGACGACAGAGACCAGGCCCCAGGTCCCAGAACCTCACGCTCAGGGACACTCCGGCAGGGCAGGATGAAAGGCCTGGAATGGAATTGAATGTGACAGGCAGCCAAGCAGGGCAGAGCTGCAGAGATAAGGGCCTAATCAGAGTTCAGACAGAGAACAGAGGCAGAACAGCAGGCGGAGGCTTTGTTCCAACGCTGGGGACCTGGGAGGACCCCGCAGGGTGGGGGAGAAAGTCACATGGGACCTTGGAGCGCTGCAACGCAGCCCATCAGCAGCCTCAGCCCAGAAGCCAGAGCAGGCCCCTTTCTGCAGCCTCCTTGGAGGCCCAAGTGGTTTATATGCTCCTCCTCTGGGTTCTTACTGCGCATCTACTTGACTCGAGCAGCTCCCACGGATCCAGCGCTTGCCCTGCGCACGAGCTCGTTCGATCCTCCCTACCACCCTGTGGGTGGGCGTTAT